TGATTCTTGAAGTGTTAAAAATTTTAGAAATAGACCTAAAACTTTTATGTTTTAGCCAAAAATCAATTCGAATTGGAAGATAAGGGAAAAACTTCTTGAAAAGTGACGAACTATATGGCATCCACCTTCTTAATGGAAATTCCCATTTGTTTCTAATTCTAATAAACCCCTGAATAATCTTACTACTGAAATTCCTTGTCTTGTATGAGAAATTGAACGAATTAAGTTAAGAAGTTTAGTAGGAGAATATAGTATGACTGAGCATGGGAGATGTTAGTCCATATGTTTGCATTCATAATGGTAATGCATATAGCTTATTTAGTTGTCTTATGAAAAATTTATGAAATGTTAAAGAATGAATTCCATGAGTCTCTTGAGATATAAACCAAGATCAGAGGAATGGAATTCTTATGGAAACCATGAGTCCTTTGAGGTGACGACCAAGAACAAGGTAATGGTTCAAATGAATCCGATCGGATAACAAAGACTAATGAAACCATCAAGTATAAAGAAAAAAGAAATAAGCATGCCATGTACATGAATATTTCATAAGTCATATATGTTCTATGTTATATTATGTATGGTTATGTTATGACTTAAGTTTATGAGAAAAGTCCAAAGTGTATGATATGTTTTATGAACTTGTTATGTCAAAGAATGAAGGTCATGTTTGGTAGGTAGGTAAAGTCCTAAGTAATATACTTGTATAATGAACCTTAATAGTTTATAAATGGCCATATTCCTTACTGAGCGATTAGCGCTCACCTCACGAAATGTTTTAAAATGTTTTGCAGGTAAGGATTAAGGCATGAAGCTGGGAGAGGATTCTGAGGGACGCTATGAGCATGAAGGGATGTTTTAATGATGACTATTGAATGGATTTGCTAATATTTAGTGCAGTAATTATGTTCATATTTCATAATGCAGTAAATATGTCCATATTCTATAATGGAGTAAATATGTTGTATTAATAAAACAAATCAAATTGCTAGTAAATTTTGTAAAAGTGTGTATGTTCTAGTAAGTATTACTACGGATTTCATAATTTACTCTAAAAAAGGAAATTATATTTTTTGACTTGTACAATGAACTTATTATAGTTTAGAAATTAAATTTTAAAAATATATTTTTAAACTACAGGTTTATTCTTTAAATAGGATTTTAAAATAAACTTCTTTCCTAGGCGTGTGTCTAGGTTCTCAATGGTCAAGGGATACTTAGGAAATACTCGGCTAGGAAGAGGTTTTACATTCGCCTGTAGAAGTGAACTTCTTCTTGACCAAGTCCTTGGCCATAGACTTCTTTGGGCCACCAACCTGTTCGGCGACCTCCTTGCCTGAGCCAACCTACTGCTCGGCCATCTTCTGCTTTCCTGAGCCCCCCTTAGGCTCGGTCAACTTCACCTTGCCTGAGCCATCATATTGTTTGGGTGCCGTCTGTTTCCTCAAGCTTTCAGTTAGCTCGGGTACTTTCTTTGTCAGCCCCTTTTGGGGCTCGGGGACACCTTTCCCGCCAACTGCCTTTGACGCAGTCATAGACTTCTTTGCATTTGGGCCTTCCCCAAATTTGCCCCCACTACGCTTTGTGCTAGCGATGTCAGTAAGCTGCCTCTTCACCAAAGCAATTGGCGTTTTCTTGGCAGCCACGGAAGTTGTCGCCTTTTTCTTAAGGCCCTTTGGTTTCTTGGCCAACATTTCTACAAAAACGAGAAGCAAGCAGTAAGCGACTTGCCTACGCTAAAGGAAGAAGTGCGAGCAAGCAAACACTTACCCTTCTCAAAAAATGGTAAAGAATTTGGCGTTATCCTCACAAAAGCCATATGCCCTCAAGTGAGGAAGTGAGATGATCTCATTAACGTTGCGCAGTCTGTTGGAAAGGCCGTTGAAGCATTGAAGCCTTTGTAAGCTTGCAGCGGGGAGTAAATTCTTCTCGACGTTAACTACAAAACAAAGAAGCTTAGTTTGCTTAAACATCGAGTTTGAAAGCAATTTTCGCACACATTGGGGGTCGAAGTTTTACTAGCTTCCGAAGCAAAAACGTCGGTCTCTCGGACCTTGTAAAATAAAAACTAAGAGTTCCAATGCAGGACCTTCTTTGGGAAGTCGATCAGCCCATTGAAACGTACCTTCTTCGCCTTGGAAAGGTAGTACGTCTAGTCTTGATCCTTCTTTAATCTATAAAAATGGACGAGCTCCTCAACAGATGGCTTGCCCAGCTCGACGATCATGTATGCTATATACAAACCTATGATTATGACGTATAAGTTCGCGGACAGCTGGAGAGGGACGATGTCGAACCGTCTCAAAATGCTGTCAATGACCCATCCAGTTAGCAGATTCTTCCGGGAAAAGTTCCCCAGAGCCCTCAAGTTAAGTTGAGGCACATAGGAGAAAGCGCATAAGTCTCTCCTATGTGCCTTAGATCCTTGACATCAATCGAAGATTGCGGTTCCCTCCGTAGCCTGCGAGCTGGAGACTACTTGGACTAAGCCAACTCCACATAGGCGCGATCGGAAGAGCCCGCCGCGTTAGGATCTCAGCTCCACGTGATGAATTCCTCAAAAACCTTAGGGATTATACCTCGAAGACTACCGAGCCTGTAGGGGAATCGAAATGCGATCAATCGTGTGGCTACTGGACGAAGACATGACTATAGCTCGCCTCTAGGTAATTGAAACAGAAGTGAACATGTGTCAGAGCTCGAAAAACTCGATGACCTATCCACATTTTGCTTTCAAGCACCCAAGATAGCTCACACCAAACAACAAATGCACGCGACCTACCAAAGATTCTGGCAGCCACCGTGATAAACGCTCCTTAAACCCAGGTTCGTCAGAGACACCCTTAAAAACCCTAGTAAATCCCTAAAAGACTCAATTGACAATGGCCACCCTCAGTTGTAAAATCAAGAAAACAACTAAAGAGAGGGAATAGAAACCTTACCGAAATAAGAGAATGGGATGAACTCGTCGAAAAGAGCAACGTAACGACGATGAAGAAGCGATAGAATAAGCAAAGACGCTTGGGAATTTTCGCAAGATGAGTAAGCTTTCTGGTGAGTTCGCCCGCTTTTATAGTGGTTTGCATGGGAGACAAAAGGGCGGGGCTCGATCGTAGCCGTTGATCTACAGTGAATCTCGACCCTTCACTCTTTGAGTGATCTCAGCCCTTGGACGTGGCCGTGTGTCAACCATCAGCAAGGGGCGATGAACCGTCAGACTGCTATGATTATAACCGTCATTACACGTCACCTCAACTCCACACGTGGATAGCTGTAGTCGCCCACGTGCAACAAAAATTAATTGCCAAAGGCTGTCACATTTAATGCAACATGACTCTGGAATTTACACAACTGTCCTTACTATTCAAATTCCGAGTTTGTCAAGAGTGTCGCAGAAGAGAGAAGATCCAAGTTTGGAGTATGTCAACCGGGAATGAGTCCGACCCTTGAAGCTCGACCAAATCTGCATCCGATGCCTTACTGATGTTGTCGAGCTTGATATCAAATCGAGCAATAGTCTTCAAAGCTCAAAACGAGCATCGAACACTAGAGGGTAGATGTTGTGTGTGATTTTTCCATCAAGCTCGGAGTATCACGAGGTTATAGCCCGATCCAGAACCAGCTCGACTCCACCGATTGTCCAACCCAGCATAAGCTCGTCGAGCTATAACTCGACCTAGTAAAAGCTAGCCACGACCAATCCTTGCGGTTGTTCAACCAATTCCTAGATAACTTCAGATCCTGGATATCTCAAGAAAGATCAAATCGATAGCAATATTTGTGCAATCACTATGTCCAATCGCGAGAATATCTAAGTTGCATTTCAACTTAATTGTAATCCCTTTATTTTTACTCTTTCTTTTATACAAACTCTGTATATAAACCCCCTCAAACGATGAGAAAGGGGTTGGAAAAATTTTCTTGGATTATCATTGTAAGCTCTCATAGCAAATACAAAAAACAATGGACGTAGACTCAAGAGTTCATATCGCCGAACCACTTTAAAAATTTCTTTGTCATTCATCATTCATTCACTGCTGGTTATCCGTAATCACTCACACACTAGTTCCGATCTCGCCAAGGTCAATCAGATCACTCTAGTTGATGCATATTTCTATATCAACACAACTCAATCTCACAACCCCGATGTGACAACTTGCAATTGGCCAGCGAGAAAATTTATCATAAACCAATTGCGAACTGCCACATCAAGTTTGTGAAAGAACATTTGTGAGATTGGATTGTAAATGTAGTATTGCCTTTACAACTTAATCTCACAACATTCTCTTACAACTCTAACGTGTCAATAGATTGATACTGTCACGACAGCTCCAACCACACCCAAGGCACTACAAAAAATGAATGGTCGTTCCTTCAGAATGAATGGTCGTTTCCTATGAAGGAATGACCATTCCTTCATAAAGGAATGGTCATTCCTTTCGTGAGGAACAACCATTCCTTCATAAAGGAACGGTTGTTTCTTTGGTCTAATCAAAATCATTTTGTATCTTGATGTGGTAACATTACTCTAAATAAAGTAGTCTAGATTGAAAGATGTAGATAACTAGGACTACAATGTACAGTTTACAAATTCTATAATTGTGCACGAATGAGTAGCTTTTCCAAGCCTTTATATGGCCATTTCAACGTCATCCACTTGCAAGCTCTCAATTAAATTTCCATCAACTAATTGAAGCAAAAAATAATTTCAGCTTTCCCTTGATCTCATTTACATTGCAAATATTTCCGAGTTACATGAAATAAGCAATGCTATCCGCGTAACAATACCAGATATAAGTGAAATTGCAGCTAAATATTTGATCTTTGATACAAATTGCGAGCTGCTAACGAACCTTACAATTACATTTTCAAAGAATAATGTCACCTAAACATAATAAAAAACACCCGATGTGAAGAAAGGGAAAAAAAAAACCTATAGTTTCATTTTGATTCAAAAATTTCCTATCCATCCACCAAGGCTCTGAAAGGTCTTCTTCTTCTTTTTTTTTTTTTTTCTAGTCAACAGCCCGTTATAAGGGAAAAAAATTCTGGTCCTCAAACTGATCTTCATCAGCATTACACTCTCTCTCATATATGCATTTAACCCCTTGCGACAAAACTACAAACAAATCTAAATTAACTTTACATGCTATTTTCGTTTGCCTTTGTTTGACAATTTAAGTCATTATGTGCAGAGAACTTGTAATATAAATAAAGAGGGGCTTTCCTAAATCAATCAGTTATGCCTGTGCTCTATATGTTGATGTGTTGGATGGATGAGTAGCCTCACGCTTTAGAAATAATGCATAGAGTATCTCATTCCAAGAATCAGGGACTCCAGGCAGACACCAGTGGCTGCAATCTTGCCGATGGAGAGGTGCAGGGCTTCCATCAGGACCCAAATAATACAGGGATGAATGCCCGTCTTTCCTCAGAGCAGTCATATAAGTCACATTCAACACATTGAATTTCCTTGTGTTTGTGTGAGCTGATAATACATCAGTGAGAATTTTGAATTGTGCCCAAGATTGAGGAGATACCAATGATGTTCCCAGTTCGGGAAGCGACTCCAAGTGGCAGGTTCCCCCAGTCTTCCAATCTCCACCTCTGTAATTTAATGCTAATTAAGCTCTATAAAACAGAATGCATACTTGTACATAAATGGAGCGGTAGCATGTTAACTATTAACATGTCAATATAAAAGAGTAGACTAAGAATAATTTTTGATGCATCAGAAGATATGCCAAGTTCAAATAAAGCAAGCTAACAAAGAATTTAACATGCATAATACAGGAAAATAATGGATGTTAAACAAACAAACCTGAAGTGGACAGGGGCATATGTACGAAAGAAGACCTGGGTCTTGCTTGTATTCACTTCATTGTCTATCCACTGCAACACAGTTTGTATGGACCTCCGATATGCATCCTCTACCTTCATTTCCACTTTTACCTCGGATCCTTCTTGAAAGTAACAACCTCTGATCAATTAAAAAAAAAAAAAAAATGTTTGAAATCAATACGCCTAACTGAAACTAAATGTCAAAAAGTATAGATATTCTGCATCCAGCAATAATCAACCTTCAATTTCATGGCACTTTTGCCTTTACATGTACAAGAGATAAAATCTGAAAGCTAATATCCAGGATCCACTCAATAAGCACATATGTGCAAATCTCAATGCAATCTGACAAAACATTTGTTACGATGTAGGGCCATTTTTGTTGACATAATTTGGAAATAAGCCATGCAAGTCACAATGATTAACTTCAAAAATCCAGAAATTAGTTCCAATAGATCCAAATTCAAATCTGGCGGGACCTCTTAAAACATATACAGCACTCATAATAATTGAGATCTTAATCCTTTCCCAGTTGCAACTTGACTTCACGGTTTATACAAAAAGCAAATGTCAAAAATTCCAAAAATTCCAAAAATAAAAAGAAACAAAAATCAGAATTATAAGCATCATCTGTGGCACAAACACACTGAGAAGAAACATGGAGAATACTACTCAAACCAGATTTTCTTAAAAAAAAAAGTTGCTAGAAGGTCACAACATTAAGAAAATTAAATACCACCTACAGGGACATTCTGTAATCCTCATATATAAATTTCAACCAATCAGATATGGATCATGACATTTGTGAACAGTCACCACAAGGTAGCACTGTGTATATATTATTCAGCTTCAATTATGCTACTAACTTTCAAAGCTGAACATGCTCAAACCAAAAAGAACAGTTCACCAATTCAACATTCAATTCAAATTTACTTCCAGATCCTTCTCCAGATACCTTACAATGAAGAAAAGCGCTACACAGGCAAATAATTTATATAAACAAGGCTCAATACCATAACATTTCCTTCAAAAGCATTTTTCAACATGAAATTTCTTTCTACAAATTCTAAAACTCGCCAAATTGATCCATCTGTCATATACAAATGACACATCTAATAAAAATGAAGGAATTGATGCTAGAGTTCAAAAATTACTAACCCTCTTATGGTCTTCTCATAATTCCACCAATGCCCTGTATTTAGAACCAGCACATCTGCATCTCTCCACTTCAAATGATTCCAATCCACTTTATCCAATTTAAGGGTTGTCCTAATCTTTTCTGAAGATCCGGCAGGAGGTCTGCTCTGCAGTACAAGAAAAGGAGCTCTATAGTACTCCACAGTGCAATTGTAGTCCTTAAACTTAAATACCAAGAAGCCTTTATGCTTTGTAATTGGGCTGCCATTCACTTCATAGATCGAATCCTTATTGGGAACCGCAGAAGAGAGCATGCAGAGAAGTGATTCCCACTGATTTCTACCAATAGAGTCACCGACAAAAACTAAGCGTTTGTTTTGAAGTTTCTCCAACATCAGTTTTGCATTGAATCTATTTCCAACAGTGGCAAACCCAAAATTAATGATTTTCTCACTCATATAAAGAATTCAAAGAATGTATTGTCAAAAGATGAAAAGATACACAGCAACTTATTTGAAATCGAACGCTCATAATTCAAAACTTAGAAAGATGCAGTAAAAAAATGGATAACTCACACAAACCAAGCACTCATAAAATGATTAATTGATTAAAATTTACTATAGTGACATTTTCACTTCTTTTAAAAGGTAATAACCCGAGCAAAACCAAGAAAAATAAACCCAGGCTCCTTAGCTGGCAGAACATTACCAACAAAATTGTTTCAATATTCATTATTCAGAAAAGAAAAAGGTCATTTGTCTTCATTTCCAAAACATTTTGAATCATGGAACAAAAGTTCACGGGTGAAGCTTATCAACAGAGGCAAACGAAACAAAGCCAGAAAAGGAACAAAGAAAGTTATCTTTAAAAACAAGACAATTGTGAAAAACTAGAGAGAGAAAGACAAACTAACAAATCATTGAAATGGCATATGCTTAAAACTGGCATTGGAAATTCAACCCTCTTTTTTTTTTTTTTTTTTTTTTTTTCTCTCTCGTAGAGGTGTTATGAAAAAATTGACATCCTAAAGAGGAAGTTAATATCAAGGGCCATAAATTGATAGAGCTAAATAATTACGCCAACCAAGACATCCAAACAAGTTGAACTAAACAACTACACGCGCGACATAAAAACAATAAAAACTCCCAAAAGCCTTTGATTTCTAGAAATTTTCTCTCAGTAATCAAAAAGGTAGAAGAGAAAAATCATGGAATATACCTTGGCAAATTGCAAAGTTTGGGTTGCCATCTCCACTTAAGGAAGAACAAATCAGGCCTACCATTTTCAGTACACCTAAATCCTTCATCTAAAAAGCTGCAATCTTTAGATTGGTACAAGGGGTAATTCTCATCCCAGACCCAATTTCCATCAAACACATCACACTCATTTGCCTTCTCACTCAAAAACTCAACTCTTTTCTTGTTCCCAATGGACCCACCGTCTAGTTTTAGCCACTTGAACCTCTCCGTTTTGCCCGGAACAGTGTACCCTTTAGGCACAGCCCGATAATCCAAGTAAAAGAAGCAGCAAATTACGCACAGCATAATAAAGAAGAATCCAACGCCCAAGTACGGCTCAAAGATCCTCAAACGCTTGAATTTCTTGAAAAAGTCAAAGTTTGGCATGGTTTCATGGTCTTGCTGAGATGGGGACTTCGACATTTGGACTAAAAAACAAAGTTTGGAATACGGGGATTGTTTCTTGTGTGAAAATGAACAATCTAAGATAGTGAAACGAACACAAAAGAATAAGAAGAAGTGTGGTGTATAAGCAAAACAACACTCATAGCCAATGGAAATGAACCCATCTCTCGAGCTTTGGCTCCTTTGCTTGGTAGTTCAGTTTCGCTCAGCAATGAAATATATTGTTACGAATAAGAAGTCAAGAAAGAGAAAACCAATGGGTGTCAATGAAGCAAAGCAGCATTCATGGAGGAATTATATACTTTTTTCTCTCTTCTCTTTTTCTCTTTCCCATTACTTTATGCATTACAACAAAGAGAGAGAGAAAAAAAAACCCAAAAAAATAAAAGACTCGTGTTCGGTGAATTTTAAAGAATAATCAACACCCCCCCCCCCCCTCTGGAGGAGGGAATGCCAGATTGTACACTCAAAGCATGGTGTGACACCTGGCACAATAACCCTTGCATGGCCCTTGAAACCTTCGGTCCCACCATCTACCATAGGTTTGATTGTTTCTCTCGTGGTTTGTCATCAGAGGCATACTCTATATTTCCAAGAAAAAGATAATTCACAATACATTAGAATAAGCATAACTTAGAATGCACTTCAAAAATATTTCAATAGAATAAAATAGGTTTGAATAACAAAATTTTAGATTCACAACTTAAAAGATTGTCCCACAGGAAAATCAAGGCAAATACAAGAAATCCAAATTAGAAACCTTGTGGGCATTGACAAGATTAGGAGAGACCCTTAGGGAACTGCCTAAAGCAGCTTTTCTGAGATGATTCATGGGGGAGCACCATTAGACAGAGTATCTCATTTCCATGCCCAAAGTCATTCACACCAGAAGGTATAAGAAAACTAAAAGAAAAAATCACTGCACCATTGACCATATAATTATGCCACAATAAACTTCTCTCATTCATTCATAAGGTATCTATGGCCCAGTTCTTCAAGTTCATGCCACAAGCATAAGGCTTCCACAACATCCATGAGCCAGTCATTCCCTATAGAACAAACTCAGGCATAAAAAGCTTGCCCATAAAACAATTTACACCACAACTTCTGACCAAACGAAAACTTGGCCTCCAAAAGGAATTGAATCGTTTCTAAGAAAAAAAAACTTGATCATTACAATAATGAAGGAGGATAAAATAATTATACTACACGTTAAAAAGTTTGAGAAGAAAAGCTCAATAAAACAATTTGATATAATACATATGAGGTCAGACAAAAACAAACAGAAAGATAAACTTCATGAGTTTAACTTCACAGCAAAGAAAAGCACGGATAAATTTGATGAGGTAACTTCACAGCAAAGAAAGCACAGACAAATATAGAGAGATATATGAGAAAAATTGACGAGGTCAAAATACGCACCAAGAAAACCACAAGCTACTGCATTTATGTAGCTCCGAGCCTCAATGGAATCAAGACCAAGGACATGATATTAAACAATATAAATTCAATTTCTTTGTCCTCAATCCGACAAAAATGAGGAACAATATTCACACCACTAACTTTTCCATGACACGCGACTGCAACTTCAGCCTTTGGCTTGCCAACATCTTCCACCCTACATTAACAAACCCAAAATTATATGAGACTTCAAATTGAAAATTCAATCCCATGAACTCACTATAACCACCTATTCAAAACCGTGTGCTAATTTCATTTTAGTACAATATGCTTTCTATAAAGGTAATTGCCTTTGTCGAAGGACAACTAGCCCTGTCAACACTCTTGAAAGCATATTTTGATACCATCAAAGTCAGGTATATCAACCACTTCTGCAATAAACGCCATTTTTAATAAATAATAACTGTTAAAAGAGGGACACCAATGACCAGTTGATTAACAACATTACTGGAACATGCCGAGATTCTTTCTCAACTTGTTACAACTCAAAATAAATAAGTAAAATTTCTATGCAGTTTGAGCAAATATCCATTTCATAAAACCTATAAAATGAAGAAACTGGGAATATAGTTGCAACAAATAATAATGATGATAATTATAATAAGAAAATCACTACTCCTTAGACTTCTTACTTACGATGATCAACCCTTTATCTATACACAATACACAACCACACATCCCTAGCTCAGGTTTACGCAACTTGAATTTTCCTCAGTTTGGTGCAAGTAACTAGTATCATGCTACTTAAGAAATACTAATACATCAAGATGTATTTAATTGCTAATACGAAACATAACATCGATTTTGAATAACCCCAAGAAAATTGACCATATATGGAAAAAAACCTTGATACGCTTAAATTAAAAGGAAAACCTGAAAAGAAACTGTCGATTGAGATTAGAAACTTCGATACGGTCCATGTCAATAACCTCTAGATTCTTAAAACCCGATAAAGCCAAGTCCTTTAAGAGCTCACAGCCTAACCACCAGCCCCAACCACCAAGATTCGCGCATACTCGCGTAGGTCATCTCTCAACTACAGCAACAAGAAGATCCCAAAAGCCAAAAAAACATAAACCAAAATTCCATGAAAAAACCATAATCGCAAGCCATGTGTTTGTTAAAATGCCACAAGAATGAGATGAAGGAATTACTTCAACGCCGGGTTCGAAAGTAGGACCTACAAGATTGCCGGGTCGGAGAAGAAGCTTGTCGAGGTCACGTGATCGGCTCGGTGTAACGATGGAGTCAGCCATTTTAAGAACACTCAGTGTTGCTATCTATCACTGTCTGAATCTCTGGTGGTTGTTTCGTTTGAAAAGCGAATTAAAATTTTTGAAGTCTGGAAAGGAACAAAACGTTGTGAAAATATGCCGTACTAGTGCAACGTGGGGAAGTAGTGTGTACTAATAGCTTGGCTTTACGCTGGCCTTCGTTTGTAATTTATAGTTATTAATAGGAGTGGACGAACAAAGGCTTTGGGCTTTTATTGCACAAAGTCATGTAGAGAACCAGTGAATAATGAGTAGGACCATCTTGGATTATAATTTTGTCCAATTTAGAACTAGAATTATAAGATTTACATGATCAACTTTAATCATGATAAGAATAATCACAAGTAGCTCAATAATTGCCTATTCCTAAAAGGATATTAATTATTACCATGATTAGTGATATCAACTTTAGCTTTTTAGGGCTTCTTCTCTTCATTTATGGATGCCCACAAACTTCAGAACTTTAACTCTTCTTACTGATATTTATTAATAAAGATGGTTCACTAACTATTGTATGTGTGATTTTTCCATCAGCTTGAGTATCGTGAGGTTATAGTCTGATCCAATTCAACTCAACTTCACCGATTGTCAACCAGCATAAGTTCGTCAAGATAGCTCAACCTACACAAGCTAGTCCGACAATCTGCGGTCGTTTAACCAATTCCCAGATAATTTCAAATTTGAATATCTCGGGAAAGATCAGATCGATAGCATCTTTGTGCCCAATCGCAAAATATCGGATTGCTTTCAACTTAATTTTAATCCCTTTATTTTCCCTTTTCTTTGTAAAACTCTGATATAAACCCCTCAAACGATGAGGAAGGGGTTAGAAAATTTTTCTAGGATATCATTGTAAGTCTCACAACAAATACAAAAACAGTGGACTAGGCTCAAGTTCATCTCGCCGAACCACTTTAAAAATCTCTTTGCCATACTTTACTGCATTCATCATTCATTCTACTAGTTATCCGTAATCACGCACACACTAGTTCTATCCCACCAAGGTTATCGGATCACTCTTGTTGGTGTAGATTCTGTATCAATATTTTGGCGCTAAAAGGGGTCTTTGCCAACATCTCAGAAATTCCAGCAAACAGCACAAGATTTAATCAATCCTGGGCCCACGATGGTGTGTACAAGATCAAAAACACCATAGAAAATCACAAAATGTGGGGACACCCATTAGGAGGTGCAACAAGACAATGTTGGGCATGACACCCAGTGCCACCAACTCAACAGTTTGCGAATAACACGGGAGGGACGTCAAACCCCGAAAACGACCAACTGGTGGGATGACTAGAAACAATGGTTGCATAGGTGGTGCAACAGAACGGGCTGAGCTGAGAAATTAACAACCAACCAACCGCACAAAACCTTGACCAACCACACTTCACAATATCACTCCCAACAGGTTAAATTCAGCTAGTGACAATCTGGCTCATCAGCACCAAGGGCGATCGACGCCGCGATGTCACAGAGTACACTCCGCTTACGAGCATGAATCCCGCGGGCAAACTAAACCGGGAGGCGACCAGGGAAACAACCATGGTGAGAGTGAAGGTAATGGTCGCCCATGGAATGCTGACCTACTCGATGATATCCCAGCATCAGACGTGTTGGTCTTAACCCACGTCTAGAAAAGCTCGATCCTCGCAAGCTCACAAGATGAGTCATGTGCGTCAATCTGGCAATGACCGATGTTCGTTATAACCACGTCGCGAGCAACGCACTGACGAGAATGACAACACCTATCAACCAAGCCATCATGACTCAACTTTGCGCATTAATGCGCATAATGGAGGGGGCTGCCCAGCACAGATTTACGAATCACTTGCTGAGGCAAGGCTGAACAAAGCCAGCCAAGGCATCACAACGAAGACTTGATCGGTGTAGAAAATGCTCAACAACCTAAGAGCTCGCCCAAACAAGGCGGCAGAAGAAATAATGAGCTCCTCCTTCACAGAGGAGTTCGCCAGGCCCGCTTCCACAAGGATTTAGGGCACCAAAAAATAAGTTCGACGGAAAGGAGATTAGAGACCATCTCGATACTTTCAATGACTTAATGGAGCTGCACCAGGTCTGTGATTTGGTGAAATGTCACTGTTCACGGTCACATTGGTCGGGGATGCCAAGAGATAGTACAAAAGACTCAAGGTGAACTCATCAGTTCTGGCAACAATTCTCCTCACTGTACTTGCAACAATTCCGAGCGAGAGGCGGTTTGCAATGCGCTCAGTTACTTGAGCAACATTTGTCAGGAAAGAGAGGAAACATTGACCTCGTATTTAACAAGGTTAGAACAAGCACAGAAAGGTCGCGATGTACCCGAAGAGTCAATTCGGAATTTTCTAATTGCAGGCATCAGGCGCAAACGAAGTTTGGAAAGAGCTCCAAAGTGAAGATCACATGAGCTGACAAAGTTTTATTAGATGCTCAAAACACCAGCGAGTAAAAGCTTGCTAGCAGCCCTAGCCAAGAAGCTCGCCACGAAGAGCCTTAAACAGGCGATAAGATCACTGTCAGATAAGTAGCGGCCAATATCGCAATGATAGGGACCAAACAGGTCCAAAAAAGACAGAAAATAGATAATCGCGGGGAAGACCGCTCTTCTCACGATACGCAGAATACACCCCCCTCACACAAGACATAGCCCACATCTACAAAGTCTCCCGTGAGGCGAAGAGAT